GTATATATTCTCCTGGCATTCTCCAAGTCCAAGTGGACTTGGACTGGCTGTGGCCTTCAATCAAAGATTACAGTACTTCTCAAAGTGGTCCCTCCACACAACTGTCTCTTTCCAGGTCCTAGTCATCATCCTCCCTCCCAGGTTCCAGTAATCATCCTCTCTCCTTTCCCCTAAAGAACTCAGGTTGGCAACAACACACTCCTACACTCCCGCTTATGGTTTCCTTATATGTTTCCCAGTCCTTGGTAAATCTCCTTATTAAACTATCCTCAAACTACTCATGTTGAGAATACTATGTGTTCCCTGATGGACCTTGAATAATACAGGTATAAAATGCATTTGAGCAAAGAGAGAGAGAAGACTGGAAACTATAGCCAAAGCACATTAGAAAACAGAGAGGAACTAATTTAGACAGGAAGCAGTGGACATGTCAAAGAGGGGGCTGATGAATAAAACATTTTAGAAGGGGAGCCACAGAACTTGATAGCTACTGGACTCTCTCTTTTCCCCTTTTCCCCTTTTCCTTATACAAAGATGACCAAAGTTGGTCTGCCATACTGGCCTGGAAATGAACCAGTCTTAATCCTTAACAGGAAAATGTGTTCTGCTGCTTCTAAAGAGCTTTCCATATGTCCATGCCAGAGCTGCAGAGCTCTGGTGACAGCAGAGGACATTTGTTCACCAACCACCATAACAGCTCCCTGCCCAGCTCAGAGATCATTCATCATTCTCTTCACCTCTCCCCTCTAGTCAATCACTTCTCTTCCCCTCATCTTCCCCTAGAGGTTTCATTTACTAAACCTGTCTACTGTAATAGCCAAGACATAAATGAAAATACTGTAAGTCATTGACTTCCTCGATAGCACTAGCCACATCTCAGCCACTGCTGGATCCCCAGTACTCTGTTCCATGATGTCTGTTGAATGACAAGGAATAAGTGGCCACATCTCTATGAACCAGGTAGGTCAGCAATCTCAGTGTTTGTTTCATAAACCTGGAAGTGAGGGTTTGAACCACAGGACAAGAGATTTTTGTAGGCAAGTTGGTGGACCAGGCAGTCATCTTCTGGTATTAGATTTTATGTAACTTTCACCTATCACATGAGCTTTCCTACCATTTGAAGAATCTCTTTCACTTCCTCTAGACCAAATTAACAAGGTCCAACAGGTGCCTGGAGTATTGTTAGACCAGTGACTGGGGGAGACCTGGCCAATTTGTAACTCAGAGGGGAACAAGACTTTAGCTTTGCTACCAAAATACCTTTTCCCATCCTCACTTCAATCTGTTCTCAGTAAAATAAGGTTAGAGTGAGTGTTCCTGGGCTCTCTTCATTTGTAGATCTGACTGAAGACAGAACATGTGTCAAATGGAACATGTTATTTTTACATCAATACCCTAGTTATTGATGGTAGGTTACAGAAAGCAAACTGAGTTTATCTACACAGGAAACTAAGAGAATTTAAGATGTAAGACATTAGACTAAGTGTTCAAGATGAGTCACTGGTAATAGACATGACTGTGCACAAAAGTGTAACTCCGTAAGCAGAATTAACACTAGGAAAATATATACAATTTTTTATCCTAGTCAGGGATATAGAATTAAGGCTGTTTAAAACGCAGAATACCATGAGGCCTAAGTGGAGGAACATTACAATAGCACTTTCTTATTAAGCAATTCTAGTTTGTGCAATTCATCTCAACTCTGAGGCCTGGAGAGGGAAGTGGCTCTCGGTCTTCAGAGGAGTGACAAGAGTCAAATAGTGAAATAGATGTTAAATAAAAAAGAAGAGAAAGTCGAAGGATGGTCCATTTCTGAGAGAGGGAGAAAAGGAAAAAGAGGACAAGAACTCACAATAAGCAAAAGCAAGATGGAACCAGAGCCTAAGAACACACATCTGTCCAAATCCTTCCCTCTCTGGGACTGGCAGTGACCTGGCCACATTCGGGCTAAATGGCTGTTCAGGAATCAGGTACAGAGGGGCTAGAACTCGAGTTGGGGGTCTTGGCCCAATATAGCCAAAGGTACAGAGTGGGTGGACTGGGTAAATATGTTCTGCTTGTAAAAGTCAGCCTTTGAGTGCGGATATGAAATACAACATCAGAACTAGGAGTTCTGCTTCTGGTAGAACAATGATTGCCTATGTTGCTTTGAACCAACCTTCCCAGGGAGAATAGCGAGAAAAACTGAACAGAATATTGTAAACATCTATCTGTATTAATCAGAAATCTATCCAATCAGTGAGAAATTTGTGGTCTGGGGAGCAAGATCCAGGAGTAGGAAGCCCAGAGAGATGAGATGAGCATTGTGGGGTTGGGAAGGGTATGGATTTTCTCCTAGAGAAATTGCCTGAAAGTCATGGCTGAGAGGCAAATTAGCTACACAGAATTTCTAGCTGGAGGGACAAAATTTAGAGTTCAGAGGCCACCGAGGAAGGGCGACTCTGGCAAACACTACAGGCTTTGAGCTGGGACCCCAAAGGACTACACTCTCCAAGTAAGGAAGGAGCAGAAATTAAATCCAGCTTTAAATCCTCTCACTACTGATTTAATTAAGGTGATGGGAATACTACTGCCTGAAGATTAGTTACCTGATGGAAGCAAAAAGGAATCTTCTTTAGAGGAAAATGATATTATCTACAGCCTCAAATTATGGCCACAGGTTTTCATGTAGAAATACAGCATTCAATGAAAAGTAAACAGTCAAAAAGATAAGATAGGTCCAAAAAACAAGCAAAAAGAGAGAATATTAAAAGACTCATAGAGAACCCAATTAATAGGAGTATCAGGCACAGATTTCAGAATAACTATGATTAACATTTTCAAAGAATTAAAAACAAGATTGGGAATTTTGGCAGACTTTAAACTATCCAAACAAGGAACAAAATGGAAATCCTGGATCTGAAAAATATGATAATGGAAATTAAGAACTTAAGGGATGGGTTTAACAGAAGAGTAGATCCATCAAAGAAGAGACTTAGTAAACTGGAAGGCATGTCCAAAGAAAACATTTGATGAGATAAGTAGATGGAAAATACAAAAAAGAGGGTAAGGGATGTTGGAAAAAGTGAAAATGTTGAAAATACCACATGATTAGAATTCCAGAAGGAGAGGAAAACAAGGACAATGAAGTAATACATGAAGAAATAATAGCCAAGAATGATATAAAACTGACAAAAGATATCAAGCTACAAATTCAAAAAGCACTCCAAACCCCAAAGAGAATAAATACAAAGATGACTATATCCAATTATATCGCCATATAATTGCTGAAAACCAAAGAGAAAGAAAATTTCTAAAGAACCAGGAAAAAAAACCCATTATCTTCCAAGGAGCAAAAATAAGATTCTCATATAATTTCTGAACAGAAATATGAGAACCCAGAGACAATGGGACAATATTTTCCACATGTTGAAAGAAAATAGCTGCCAACATAGAATTCTATACCCAGCAAAACAAATATATCACTTTTAAATTAAGGAAAAATTAAGATATTTTCAGATGAACAAAAAGCAAGGTAATTCATCACTAGCATGCCTGCCCACAAGGAAATGCTAAGGATATTCTTTGAGCAGAAGGGAAACTATCCTAGTTATAAGATAGAACATGCAGGAAGAAGTGAAGAGCAACAGAAAGGGTAAATCTAAATGAATATTGGCTCATAAGGCAATAAATCCTTTCTTTGGGGTTTAAAATAGAGAACTAAATCCATGACAATAATAGCAGTAAGTTGGGGAAGTAGGTAAAGAGTTAATGTGTTCTAAGGTTCTTGCAAAATCCAAGAAATGATGAAAGTACTAATACATATTAGACTTGAATAAATCAGGGATCTATTTTGTAATCTCTAGTGTAACCACTAAAAGAAAAGAAAAATGCATAACTACTAAATAGATCTTTTTAATAATAAAAAGTACTTAATTCAAAAGGCAGCAAGAAAGATTGGGGAAAAAATCAGGCAAGACAAATATGAAGAAAATAAAGTGGTAACTGTAAACCCACACGTATCAGGAATAACAGCAGCAGGTACCAGTCCAGAGAGAGCAAAGCAAGGCTGCGGAGTTGAGTTTTTAACGGAGGGGAACCAGAGTCGGAGAAAGTGAGTCAGGCACTAGGGAAGAGCATCTGAAACAAGGTGGAAAACAGTGCTGGGAATCACAGGCCTGTGTTCCCCGAAGTGTTTGTTTAGTTACTTAAGGCAACCTGGGATGGCTTAAAAGACCCAACAGGGCAGACAAAACAGGAGTGGGAATTCTTGCTTATTCTAGTCACTAACTACCAGTTACGACAAGAGGATGTGGATATATTTCTTCATTGTGTACAAAGCTTTCACGTGCAATAGGCCACCTGTTCATCACAACCTTGTGATACAGAGCGAGCAGAATCATAATCCCCATTTTATATATGAAGAAATGGAGACTTGGAAGATGAAACAGCATCCCTATCATCACACACTCAATGCTGAGATCAGAAACTTCCAGTTCCCCATCCAATACTCTTTCAGCCACATGACCCCTTAAGCAAGAGTAGCAGAGGATTTACAACCTACTCATCTTGCCATGTACCTTTTACCCCTAAATTTTTGGAGTGTTGATTTCTCATTCTGCAAAAGTGCTAGATAGCCCAGCACTACTGAAGGGTTGTTAAAATTAAAGGAGCTAATGTTCAAAAACCCCTGGCACAGAGCAGATGCCCAAGACGCATCAAAATCACAGTGGCTAAATCAAACTCTCAGAGGAGTGGCTTAAGGGACAAGCAGGAGCCAGGAATTGTAGGCCACAGCAAGATGGGGAGGATACAGATCCAACCTTTCAGGAGCTCCCAGACAAGGGAAGGGACAGCATAACAATGCCACTGAAAGGCAGAGCAAGGACTGTGACGAAGGCACAATGAACAGTGGGAAAGATCACTTCTAGACAGAAAGGCGACATGAAAGGACCAGGATGGCAGAGACGGGATGCCCAGGACTGAGATATGCAGCCAGAGTCATTACCTTTCTGGCCAGTGTGACCACCACAATGACTGCTGTGCCGATGACTGCCAGCACTGTGGCCATGGCTCCAAGCAATGGGATCTGGAACCCAGCGCTGTGCTCAGCCACTAGAAGGAGGACAAAACAAAGGTGAGTGGGCAGAGGCCGGAAGCAAAGGGCAACCATTACAAGGGAAGCCTCAGTGTCAGGGCATGGGCATGGGAATTGGCCGGGCCTTTCTCTAACCACAGGACTGGCGTCTTCAAGTCCATCTCTCCGGACAGCAGAGCATCTGCCAGGCCCATCATGAAATCAATGCCTGATCTCTCAAGGGGTGTACCCCACACACGTGACACCAGCACAGACCATTTTAACACTCCTTTCTCTTTTTGACAACATCAATTTCAGTCATAATCGTGAAGTGAAACAAATAACATCCAGAAAAAAACCAGAAGGTGATTATTTTCTTTATTAAACTTCATATTTATAATCATACTAGTATAAAAAAAGTTTAATTAAAAATTAAAAGAACAGGGACTTCCCTGGTGGTCCAGTGGGTAAGACTCTGCTCCTAATGCAGGGGGCCCGGGTTTGACCCCTGGTTGGGAAACTAGATCCCACATGCATGCCGCAACTAAGAGTCTGCATGTTGCAACTAAGAAGCCCACGTGCCACAACTAAGACCAGGCACAGCCAAAATAAATAAATACATACATATGGAAAAAAATTGAAAGAACATTAAAGTACAAAGAAGTAAAAAAGCATATAACCTTTCACCTTAAGCCTATAACACTTACTCCAACTTGGCTGTGAGACCCTGGAGGGAGTAAGGCTCTGGAGCTTTATCCTTTGCTGTTTTGCCAGCACCTGGCACCTACCAGGTGCTTAATAAATATTCATGACATGAATTAAAGCATGAATAAGTGACGTTCTATGAAGATGTAAAATGTAAATGCAAGGAGGAAGAGTCAAGAAGAGAGTTTTGAAAAGATGCGTGATGCTTGACCCAAGGAGAGTGTGAGGGAAACAGGACTATTGTCAGGATGTGTGCTGGACTATAAGTGGAAGGGTTTCCAGGCTGCCTCATCCCATCCCCACCTCCTTCCCAGGAACTTGGGCAGAACCCGGGTGTCCAGGGCATTCTTGAAAGGAGAAGGGGGTAGCAGAGGCCGGGCCCCTCTTCCTTCTAACAAAGGGCTTAGATTGCCGGGAGGATGGCTAAAGCATGTAATCACTTAGGGCAAGGGCAGCACCCCCAGTACCCACAAGGTACCAGGAGCAGTGGGGGAGCCCAAATTCCCCCGAATGTATTCTTCCTGCTCTGAGGACTCAGTCTCCTGCCTTGGCCACAGGTAGGGAAAGAGGACTGATGGAGACCAAAGTTGGAGAGGGTCAGAGGGGCTGCAGAGGGCTCTCCATAGAACCACAAAAGGATGGAGGCTCTTCCCCACATGCTGCATTGGCCTATGCCGGGGCCCTCAAGAAGTAGCACTTGAGAAGAAACTTTAAAATAACCTTTTATCTTCTCCGTTTACACATATTTTGCTATAACTCAAACAATCGCCAACACCACTGATGTCAGCAAATAGCAGTTCCGAGGGTGTAGTTGAGTGGAACCAGAGTACCTGTGTTAAAATCAGCTGTACCGCTCTGAGCAACAGCCAGGCCTCAGCCTCTGCCTCCACCCGACAGTCACATGGGAATCAGGGGATTGTGTTCATACTTATGTTCATGCCTACTTACATACTTAATTCATGCTTGTCATGTTCCAGGGACAGTTCTAAGGGCATTTTTTTTTTCGTAAGTAATTCAATCCTACGTTAGCTCCTCAGGATGTCTTACATCTTTTCCTCATTTCACAGACGAGAAAAACAAGGCACAGAGAAGCCCAGTAATCTTGTCTGAGGTCAACAGCAACACCAGGATTTGGAGCCAGGCTGCCTGAGCCCATCGTGACTCTGCTATCCTGTCCCTCAGCCATGATAACAACCCTTTCCCACCCTCCAGAGAACTGGTTTAAGTGTCCAGGTGGATAATGAAAGTGAAAGCATTTTGGAAACTATGAAGTGCCACAGAAATGTAAATTATTGTACATTTACACTTAGCACTGAGCTCTAATCCTTTATAAACTTAGTGGCTAATTCTAATTTGCATGATCGATGCTAAATTAATGAGATCCTTTCTCACAAGACCTGAACAACTGGTCTTCCTAACAAATATACATAGGAGGTGCTTTTACCCGAACAGTGGTTCTCAATCCTGGCTGCCCATTCAAATCATCGGGGTGCTTTTAGAACCTAGCACAACCTGCTCTGCCCTTCTGACTAAACTGGTCTGGGATGGGGTGCCAGCATCAGTACCATTTAAAAGCTCCCAGGTGATTTGAACGTGAACCAGGGTTGGAAGGCCCCGCTCTGCAGTATTGGGCAGGAAGGCATTTTCTACACTAGAGGATGACGGTCACCAGCCACCCTGCTCCAGAGAGCATACCTGAGCTTTGTAGGACTTCCAGAAAGACTGTCCCTTTGTAAATGCCATCAGGGTAGGTGTGATAGATGCAGATGTACTCTCCTGTGTCGTTCCTGGTCAGTGACTGGAGGGTGAGGCCCAGGTTGGGGCCTGGGACCATTCGCTCCCTGAAGGCTGGGTCGATGTGCCACCCCAGGCTGGCATGATGAATGGCCAGAACTTGGTCCTGCTGTTTCCAGTTGACCTGGGTCACTTTGGCAGTAGTGGAGGAGAGATGACATTGTAAGGTGACGGAGCCACCTTCCTCTGCAGAAATGTTCCCCGTTGTTACTATTCCGCCTGTCACAGCTCCTAGGGAAGGGGGAAAAAAAGAATGCACTTTTAGCAGCTGGCCTTGAACCTTCCCATAGAAATTCCAAGGTGGCTTTAGGCCAGAACTGATTTTTGGAATGACAGTCTCTCCAGTCTGCCCTGTCATTCCCCCACACAGACTGTAATTACTACACAACATAACACTTCACCCTCTTAGGATATTCTGTGGGAATATACCTTCCTGATGAATTCATTGATTATTTCCACACACTTATCTTGTCTCCCTACCTAGAATATAAGCTCTTGTCAGCCATCGCTTCTGTTTGATTGTACCTTCCAGCTGCCAGTTCTGTGCTGGGCACATTATCCTTTGAAACAAAACCTGGCTGTTTTGGTTGACAGCCATTTGGGGTGGCCGGAAAATTTTTCAGGAAAGCCACGACATCCAAAGGAAAGGAGGCTTGGAGAGCAACTCCGCTTCTCCAGGCAAAGCCACCATCCTTGACACTGACCTCCACCCCGGGTCCAGACGGTTCAGAAAGCAACAGGGAAACAAAATTATACTACGGTTTTTAAATATTTCTGCCCCCCTCAGAAATATTTGCTTATGTTATTTAATATAGAAGGAAATAGATTTAACATAAATTAAATCTCTAATAGTAGAATCTCTGGAATCTGTGACGAAGACATTTTTTAATCCACAGGAAACATGTTGGGTTGGCCAAAAAGTTCGTGTGGGTTTTTCCATTATGGAAATACAACGTTTTTCTAGAAGTTTCCTCAAGGACAGAAGAAAGGAGGATGGCGCAGGAGTGAACTTCTCTCAGCAAACTCATCATCCCTCCTCCTTAGTCCCTTTCTGTCCTCCTGCTTCCTTCCTTGGGTCAGCCAGTCAGGCACCCCCCATCCCCAAGTCCTTCATCTGCCGCCTAGTACAGAACTGTATCTCCTTCTCAGAGACAGCCGTTTCTCAACGAGGGGACACAGGGCTCTGAAAGCTGTGTTTCCTTCCCTCAGATGGATAAGACAATGAATGGCTCCAGCCTCCCCCTTCCTCCGCCCGCTCTCCCTCCCCTTCCAGTCCCAGGCTAGACTTCAGTACCTGAGGCAGGGAGGCGAGCCTGCCTCAGCCCCTGGGCCCAGAGCAGTAGGAGACACCACTGCATGCTTCTGCCCAGGGGGCCGACACGAAGGAGCTGCGGCCTCTTCTGCCAGCGAAACTGGCCGACTGCTGATGGCAGGCTGAAACTGAGCCTCTGAGGAGAGAAGGTCTCGGAAAAACCAAGTTCAGCAAAAACAACGTCGAAGATAAAATTCACAACAAGTGCACAAACTGCACAGGGTGAGCCACAAGAAAGACCGTGAAGGAAACACATTTAAAAATAAACAAAAATGTGGTTAGAGGTACACTGGTCTTTGGATTACTATTAGTCAACCTATTGTTTTTAAGTTCTGTCTCAATGCACTTTTTGTTTAAATTAGCCTTTATCTAATAAGCTCAAGCACATCTGTGTAAATGCCCAAGATTCTGGAGAACCTGCTCCTGACAGGGTTCACTGGGCTGCCCCGACTGTGCAATGACAAGAGAAACTTAAGTTTGTGCACTTAAAGGCCAGGAACTGCACTTGAATTCTAATGATCGAGGGAACAAAAGACATTTATTCAGAAACAAGGCATGAGTGGGACAAAAGTCTTGGTCAAACAGAGCAACTTTCCCCTGAATGAGGGAAAGAACTAAGATTCTGTCTCCTTGGATCTAACTTCTTCTGTCTTGTGTATTTGGACTGAGACACTGTCGAATTCGGGCTCAGTCTCTCTGACCCAGTAGAGTCAGAGGAGACCAGAAGAGTGAGTTTTCTCACGTACTGTGACCCCGTGACAATCGGGATGCAAAGAAGGGCGAGCCCCATTTGCCTGACCCTGGATCGGGATTGGCTGACACTTTTCTGGAGCTCCCAGCTCATCATCAAGTCCTACTGTTGACCCACCCTTCCTGCTTCTCGCCTTCCCTCTCTCAGTTCATGCCTTTGAAAGTCCCTGAGTGCCTGCGAAGCACTGGACTCGAGACTAGGCTCTGGAGATATGAGGGTGGATAATCACCGCCCCTGCTGTCAAAGTCAAAGCTTGCTCTGGTGAAGCCACACCCTGGGGAGAGGAGGTGGAGGGTACACATTCACCTGCCCTGGGCATGCCCCGTGGTGCTATGTGCTGAAAGTCTGCTGCTCCAACGGGGGAACATCTGAAGCCTGGTGCTCTGCCTCTCATTCCAGCCCAGCACCCTGAGCGTTCCACACGTTCTGGGCTCCTGTCCTCCTCCTCTTCTGCAGGACGCTCCATCTCAAACCAGTTTCCTCCCATCCCTGGGTACTCCCTATTCCCAACTCTACGCTACGACCCATGTACACCCCTACACCCCACCCCCAGCCCCTTAGACAACTTATGCCTCACCAACTTCTTTCTGCCCACCCCAATTCGACCTGTCCTTCAAGGCTCACATCAAGACATGTCTCCTCCACCGCCTCTCCACAGTCACGGAGCCTGCAGCTGAAGACGCTATGAGATCTAACGCGTGTCCACCTAACGTGGGCGCAGAGGTTGAACCAGAGGGGTGTTTTCAAAACTGGTTGCCAAGGCAGAGGGGCGAGGGGTGGGAGAGCCGAGAGCAGCTCTGCGGAATAGAGCACAAAGGCGGACTCTGGCGTTTGGACTCTAAAAAACCTCAGAGACTGTGTTTCTGTAGTGGGGGTTGGTAGAAGCCACAGAGGCAGGACCAGCCTGTACCCATGGGTTCTGCATCTGTGGATTCAACCAACCACAGATTGAAAATATTTTTTTAAAAATTTCCAGAAAGTTCCAAAAAGCAAAACTTGAACTTGCCATGCACTGGCAACTATTTACATAGCATTTACATTGTATTTATAACTATTCACATAGCATTTACATGCTATTAGGTATTATAAGTAATCTAGAAATGATGTAAATTGTATGGGAGGATTTGCCTAGGTTATATGAAAACACTATGCCATTTTATGTAAGGGACTTGAACGTCTGCAGGGTTCTCAGTACCAGTCCCCCACAGATACTGAAGGATGACTGTATAACTAGAAATCCAAAGAAACTAAAGAATTGTTCTATTTGTTTCTAAGCAGTCAGTCCAAAGAAGAGCACGGTCAAGTCCATTTTGATCAGTGGTGCTCTCCAGAGACATGTGAAGGTGGTGACTAACACCCTATGGAAGGAAAAAGACCTGGGTCCAAATTCACCCTGGTTTGATGACCTCGGGAAATTACTCAACCTCCTTAAGCCTCAGTTTCCTCATCTGTAAATAAAAACAATAGTACCCACTCCTCACCCCCCTCATAGGGCCCTTGTGAGGATTCAGTGAACTAATGTCCGGTAATGTGTTTAGCACAGTGCCTGGAACACAGGAAGGGCTCAATACATCAATGATAGTATTGATAATAACATTAACTAAGGAAGTGAAAGGAAAATCAGAGGAGAATATCCCTGTCTGTGTGATGTATTTTGCCAGGAGTAAACCCCTGGTCTCTGGACTCCAAGGCCAGAGTTCTACAAACCTCTTCATTCTGGCTTAGGCATCTGATATCAAATATGAGAATAAAATATTACTGTGGAAAAGTAGGCACTGTACCAGCCAAACCCTGAGGACGGAGGAAGGCGAATGACAGAAGAGTCTCCCCAGGGAACCTCCCAAATCCCTCTGGGAGCCTCCTATTGGGGCCCCTCCTGGAACGGTTGCTGGCAGCAGCCAGAGCAAAGCAGCACAACTGTGAGAAGCAGGTCTGGAGCAAGAGCTCCCCGGGCCACCCTGAGCCTTTGGGGCCCCCCTTGGCAGTCCCTGCAGAAAAGCGTGAACCCCTGTGGTTAGTTGGGTGCCAACTCACGTTTCCATTTAAAGTTCTAAAAGGAGCCACCATATTTTTCTCCCCTGACTTCTGGGGTTGTGGGCTGGACAGGGATGGTTAGCCTTGAGGCAGTGGGGTGGGTGTAGGTGTTGGGGAAGGGACTCTATTTGCACGTAGAATGTAAAACACTCACCAGGCCTCTCAAGTCCTTTCACAACCCAGCCTTCCCCTCTCCCTGTAAGTCCCCCTTTAGCCCACAGCTGGCTCCCCAGCTCCAGTTGGAAGCCCATGGCTCGGCGGGGGCGGGTCACAAGCACTGGGCCCGGGGGTGGGGGTGGGGCTGAGGGTGGTCACACTTCCCACAAGGCCCATGACTCATACACGGGAAATACAACCTAGTGTTCTCTCAGGGCACAGACCAATCTCTCAGCGGTGTCTTTGGACTTCAGAGTCTCCAGCGTTTTCCCTCTGGCGCATAAGGGGTGCAGGAGCCTAAGGGATATCACAACTGTCTTCTCCGCCCTCTTCCCAACTGCAACACCAACAGCTGCATGGACGGTGACCTTCCCAGCCAAGCGCTCCCTCTCTCTGCCCCGCAGAAAGGCGCCTCCTGGTGTGAGCTGTATTGTGGCCGAGGGGTCCACAGAGGCCTGTGGGAGCAGGGAGACCGGAAACCGGGGAGAGAAGGGGACACGGCCAGCCGCCCAGAGTACCCAGAAGAGCCTGCCCTGCATCTCCCTCAGCCCCATCTGCCCTTTGCCATAGCAAAGTCACTCCACAGCAGAGCCATCCAGGCAGTGGGTGGTGGTCCCAAAGCCCCTTGTGGAGAGAGGAAATCAAAGAATCAACATAAAAGTATCTCTGACCTGAGGCTCTTTTATAAGTCTGTGAGCCAGGTGGTTTGTTGGCTGCAGCTGGCTCAGAGCGAATGCCAATGGGGAGAATTTGGGGGTGGGATTGCCATTGTTTGTTCAAGCTCCCTTGGGTGAGGTGACCCTGAGGAACCCACCCCCGCCCCCCAATAAACGCTGCCAAGGAGTTTTGAGGATTATGGTAAATTTCCTTTGCCTTCTCAGCTGTGAAAATAGGACAGAGACTCCCAGGAGAGGCTGGAATGCAATCAGAAGAAAAGTCTTTGGGAGGAAGCAGCTCTTCTCGTCTTCAGCTGAGGCCTTTTCTGCAGCCTCTCTTCACAGCCCTCCCACCCACCAACGTCGCTTCCCCTACGCCCCCATCCTAGATGTGATTATACTATCAGTCACCCGCTAGCTCCATCTGCCATGGGAAAGATGTCCTCTACCCCTGGAAACTTACCTCCTGCTTCCTACTACCTGCATCCCTCAACATCCAGGACAACTAGAACTGGGATAGAGATACATGCGAACGTATCATTCAAAGAGTGTCTCAATCATCAAGCATCCTCCTTCCACCAACAAAAAGGAAGCCAGACCAAGATGGTTTCACAGGGGCATATAACAGACCTGTAAAGAGCAGATGATTTCAATGTCACTTAAAATATACAGACAGAGAACATAAAGGAACACTTCCAAATTTGTTTTATGAAGTGAATTTCAAACTTTTGTAAAAATTATTAAGATTGCACACAGTAAAAGAAAATCAGATCCTAATCTCTTACAAATACTGAGGGGAAAATTCGAAATAAAATATCGTCACACAGATGCCAACAGCAAATTAAGCAAAATACATAATGACCAGGTAGAGTTTATTCCAGGATTACAAGGATGATTCAATACTAGGAAATCCTTTAATATTAAATACAAGATCTATACAGAAAAAGTATATGGTCATTTCCTGATGTTGAAAAGAAAATTCAATCCCTACGACTGACAGAAAAAAGAAAAAACCACTCAGTAAAATAAAAATTGATTCTTTTTAACATAATTACACACACACACACACACACACACCAGCCCCTAAGCCAACATCCCTTTTGATGGGAAAACACTAGAGGTGTTCCCACTAGGGTCGGGAATAAGACAAGAATGATGGGGGCTTCCCTGGTGGAGCAGTGGTTAAGAATCCTCCTGTCAATATGGGGGACATGGGTTCGAGCCCTGGTCCAGGAATATCCCACATGCTGTGGAGCAACTAAGCCCATGAGCCACAACTACCAAGCCCACCTGCCACAACTACTGAAGCCCGCGTGCCTAGAGCCCGTGCTCCACAACAAGAGAAGCCACCACATCTGTGCACTGCAATGAAGAGTAGCCCACGCTCGTCTCAACTAAAGAAAGCCTGCACAGCAACGAAGACCCAATGCAGCCAAAAATAAATAAATA